GTTCTGTATTCAGTACTTTAGGTTATATTGAGTATGGGGCTGCTATGACTGTGAGGGGGCCTGTCAGTAGTATTAAGTACATTGGGGCAGTGTCTATATGTGGGGTGGCTGTGTCTACATGGGAGCGTTAGTATTCAGTATGTGGGAGCTGTGTGTAGATATGGAGGAAGTCAGTTTTCAGTACGAGAGGAGGTGCTGTGTCTAAAAAATGGTCTGTGTCTAAATTGGGGGGGCAATCAGTATTCAGTAAGGGGAGGCCATGCCTGAGTGGGGTGTGTGCTATATTAGTGGAGTTGTGTCTATTTGGGGGTGTCGGTATTGAGGGGGTGTTTGTCTGGAGTGAAGCTGTGTCTGTGGTGGGGGTGGTTGTCAATATTGGGCTGTGTGCCCATATGGGCAGAGCTGTGTTGATATTGAAGGGGATGTGTCTATATGGAGAGGGTGCTGATATGAGGGAGGGGGTGTCAGTATTCAGTACCAGCGTGTATTATGTTGGGGTCCCTTGAGCTGTGGTATGTTGCTGAAGCCCTTTCCTGCTTAGACAGGTTAAAAAAGTCAATTTTCTCTCTTCAACAGGACTGGAGAAGAAGGTGATGGGGATTTTTTTGAAAAACTGATTGCCATTCAACAGAAGCAGGAAAATATGCAGCGTCTGGACTATACACAGGTACACTGCTGTCATTGTTCCTCATATAGCTCCAGACCACCTGAGGCAAGCATTCAGCTGCTTGTCTCAATTCACTAATCTCAGCTCGCAGGACCTCCGCTGTCACAGTTACCCAGCGTGGCTTCTCTGTGATCACATTGTTCCCAGGGTGACAGCAATACTGTGATGGGGTGTAGAGTTTCTGTGTAAGATGCTGGGAGTCAGAGCCAGTGGTCAGAATCTGTGGTCAGTCATTGTGACCAGTGTCTGCGGTTAGTGGCTGAGATTAATGTTTGAGGTAAATGCCCAAGTGTCTGTGATCAGAGACCACAGATCTCTGACAGCATGTTTGAATTCCAAGTGAAATGAAATTGTGTTATTTTCCTGTTTGCCACAGACTTTGGGAGATGTAACTGAGTCCCTCCCTTTTCAAACAGCTAGACACAAAGACAAGCTGAAGATACCACATGGAGAGGTAACGTTCACCTTCATCTTCAAGGAATGATGAGGGGGAGGAAGAACAATTGGGGTGGCTGATGACCAGGGGTTATGGGATGGTCGTTAGGGACGGGTTGACGGCCAGAGTGCATTAGTTGGTGACTACTGTTAATGGGGTGATGTGACGTATGGGCATTTGACAATGGGACAACAGCAATACAATATTCTCAATAATTATGCTGTCTCTGTCCCCGTAGCTGCTGTTGCTGTGTGAGAATGTGCTGTACACAGTTATCCACCGAACTGGTGTCCCCTCTACAATGCACATCACAGACCAAGATGAGATGCTTCGCTATTTGCAGAAGGTAATTCAACAGTCCCATACTGTAACTCCAGGGATATGGACAATCCCACATTATAAGCCCCAAGTTACAGACAGTCCTAGAGTATGGGCAGTTTCATGCTGTAACTCTGGTGGTACAGGCGGTGTCACACTGCAATGTCAGGAATACAGAGGATCTCACTTTGTAATCCTAGGGATACAGACCGTGCTGCACTATAAGCCAGCAGTACAAACAGTCCCATGATTTATTTGTAGAGGCACAGGCAATCCCACACTAGCCAAGAAAACAGTGTCACTTGTAACCTCAGGGGTTAGATAATCTTACATTATAACACCAAGAGTACAGGCAATCTCACACTGTAGCCCCAGAGAGAAAGGTACAACCCAGAGTTACAGGTACTCTTACATTGTAACCCCAGAGTTATGTGCAGATTTCACACTAATCCAGGATTGTTCCAGGAAGCACTGCAACTGCAGAATCCATGGGCAAAATCTTACAGGGACCTGAATAACATGGGTTAAGGTGAGAAATATGACAAAATTGCACACAACATCCAGTGAGGTCTATCTCAATGTTGGGAACAACTCTCTTTGTCTTTTAACTAAGTCAAGGCTAGATTCTTGCTAGGTAGCGGTGAGTTCTCTATTAAGGGAGTGTAATAGGCCTGAAATAGGCTGTATTTGAAAACCCTGCTCAACATATCCATGTTTACAGAGCGAGGGGTGTATGGGCTAATCATTCAAACTTGCAACACACTCATCCTTTTTCACATATTCCGACATATCCAGCATCCTCTTGCAAGAACATGTTTCCTGAATTGAATGGACTGGCAATTCTGAAGCATTATGCCTTTGGGGCAGGGAGTAGGATAACACTTGCAAGGGTTTCTGCTCCTGACTCCTTTAAAAGGACAGCAATCTCAGTGGAAATATATAATGGTACACGATCATGATGCCCCTTGTATTTGAAGATGCTGACCGCCTAGGTTTACACCTGAAGAGTGACTATCTGTAAGGGAAAGTGATTCAGCACTCAACAAGAGTAACAAAGACAGAACTTGCTGGAAAAGCTCAGCAGGTCTGGCAGCATCTGTGAGGAAGGGTCACCGGACCCGAAACGTTAACACTGATTTTTTTCTTCACAGATGCTGCCAGACCTGCTGAGCTTTTCCAGCAACTTCTGTTTTTGTTCCTTATTTACAGCATCCGCAGCTCTTTTGGTTTTTGCTCCGCATGAGTATATTCAGAGTGAGAGAGGCTAATGTGATTTTAAATTTTACAGGTCTTCAAGCTTGATGAGAATGAATATGAGGCTGTGATGCACCGAGTGAAGGAAGCAAAGGTAAAGATGTCACAAAGTGTTAGAACTTAACATTGTAGGTGTGCTGACACAGAGAACCTGCTACTTCAATGCAATCAGGAAACACATTTCCAATAAACCTTTCCCAAACACTCCACAGTAAACCTGTTCTGTGAAGTCTACGGGAACTTAACCCAGTTTGTCTGCTGCAAAGCTAGCTGGTTCTAGTTTAAAACAATATGCATCCTCGATTTATACTCCCCCCAACTGATTTGCACCCTCTGAATGACATCTCCCCAATTTACAACCCCTGAATTACACACTGATTTACACACCTCAGTTTACATCCCTCGATTTATACCCCCCAATTACCACCCATGATCGACACCTTGCTGATTCAACTCCAACATCCCTGAACTGAACTCGGATTTACACTCTGCAGTTTACACCCTCTGATTTAATCCCCTGAATTCTTCACCCCCAATTTAAACCCCCCCAATTTACACACCCAATTCAACCCCCCACAATTTACACACCCCCAATTTACACACCCAATTTAAAAAACCCCAATTTACACACCCAATTTACATCCCTAGTTTTTCACCCCTAATTTATACCCCTGTCCTGATTTACACTCCCAAATTTACATTCCAATTCACTCCCACCTCATCTACAACCTCAAATTAGACCTCTCGATTTATACCCTGCAAATTTACACCCCAGATCTACACCCCATTAAACCTTCCCAAAATCCACCCCTACTGATTTGCATGTCCAATTTACACCCATTGACTTGCAATTTGCCATTTACAACTTCCCCTCTTGTGATCAGCGCTGTTCTTGGCTCCAACGTGTGCGTTACAGTTATCCTAACCTAGTTATTTTTGACCACAAACCTGTCCTATTCTTTACGGTTCCTACTCAATAGAGAAGTTCAGGCAATGATTTATAAACTGTTCATGTCAAACAGCAGGAAGCTGGAACTGATATATAGTTCAGGCTTCCAATTCACAACTGAATTTCTTTCTGTATTAAATTTGCTTTTCATTGTACCAAAGTGTGACACGTTAATGTGTGATGCCAAGGAGTATGATGCCCGAGTGTTGGCATGCGCACTCAGTAAGACTTGGGTGTGATGCTGGGGGCAATGAGCTGCAATACCCAGGGTTTTAGGCTGCAGTGCCTGAGATGTGATGTTTGAGGTCCAATGCCCAGGCTGTCAGGGTGCATTGCCCAATGTGGATGTCTGATTGTGATGGACACTGGATGGGTCTACACTTTTGAAACAAGTACAAAGGCAGAGCTGAAGCTTAATTCCATGAGCCTGCTTGTTGCAGTTTCTGGAGTTGAGGGTAAAGAAAATCACATATTAATTTTTTTTTCATTTTCTTTTCCTGAGATGGACGAATGCAAATCTAGAATTACACAAATCTAAGCTCAAAAGAAGCCAATTTGCCCATTGTGCCTCAACATCAGAACCCTCTGTTCTGGTCCTGTTTCCCTGCCAATTTGCTAAGCCTTGCATATTTTCTGTCTGTCAGTAATTCCCTAACTCTCTCTGTGACTGACTTGGCTTCCATCTTCTCCTGTGGTAATCTTAACCACTTGCTGTGTAAAAAGGTTTTTCCTTATGCTGCCTCTGCCTGTTTTGTTCATCACCTTAAATCAATATCCTCTGGTGCTCTATTTTCTTGCCTCAATCTTCTAGCATTTTAAACTTCTCTGCACTAAATTTCATTGCCTATAATTCTGACCAATTTAACAATCTTTTCAAATCCTCCTATAATCTAAACTAGACTGCCTTCCTCATTGCTTACTCAATTTCTTTGTTTTGTAACATCTGAAAACTTTATATACCCAATTCCGGGTAATTGATACAAATTAGATGAAAAAAGATGTTTAAGTAATGAGAACATCTCAGAACAGTATCAGATAGGCAGCAGGATCCTATAGCATTTACATAGCTCTTTGGAAAGTTCTCAACACTAGACATTAGCTGTGTTGTCTGCCTACTGATGGGCCATTTGTGTACAAGTATTAGCTTCTGCTTTTAATAACAGTCAAATTAAACTGTTGGAAAGCACAATTTATTTTGATTGACAGTTTGGTTTGTACACTGACTGTTGATTTCCTCTCAGGCAGATGTTGAATGGGGAGGTGATATTGCCATTTTCCTGTGGTCAGTATTAAACCCTATACTCAACTAATACTTCTTTCATCACGTCACCCGCAGGTGCCCTCCTGGACCCTGAAAGTGACCGTTGTGGAGGCAAGAAACCTACTGGCCAAGGATGCCAATGGTGAGGAACCCAAACTTTCCTGTGTGGAAATGATTCTGTGAAGTGGCACTTGTCTTCTATGTTCATGCGTCTACTGCAGTTCTATACCAACCTTCAAGAGGGATGAGATACTGAGTCTGTACAGTGAGGAGCTTATATGTGGATCAAGTTTCACAATTCCCATGTATTGGTTAATGATGGGTTTGATTTGATTTGATTTGATTTGGTTTACTGTCACTTGTACCTAAGTGCAGTGAAAAGCTTTGTTTATGAGCAATACAGGCTGATTGTAGGGTGAAAAACAACTTCGACAGAGGCATATAGGGTATATCGCACAGGGTGTACGCTAGGCAAGATCAACATTATATGAAGTTAGAGAGTACATTCATCAGTCTGATAACTGCAGGGAAGAGGCTGTTCTTGAACCTTCTGGTGCGTGTGTTCAAGCTTCTGTATCTTCTGCCTGATGGAAGAGGTTGTAGGAGAGAGTTACTGGGGTGGGATGGGTCTTCGATGATGTTGGCAGCCTTTCCGCGGCAGCGAGCCATGTAAATGGAGTTCATGGATGGAAGTTTAGCTTCCGTGATGGTCTGGGCTGTGCACACAACCTTCTGTAATTTCTCACGGTCCTGGGCAGAGCAGTTGCTATAACAGGCCGTTATGGACCTGGACAGTATGCTTTCAATGGTGCATCTGTAGAAGTTGGTGAGGGTCCTTGTGGACATGCCAAATTTCCTGAGCCTCCTGAGGAAGAAGAGGTGTTATTGTGCCTTCTTGGTTGTTGCATCTACATGGGAAGTCCAGGACAGTTTGTCGGTTATTGTCACTCTCAGGAACCCTCTCAACCTCAGCTCAATTGATGTAGATGGGGGTGTGTTCTCCTCCTTTCTTTCTGAAGTCAATGATCAGTTCTTTAGTTTTGCTGACATTGAGAGAGAGGTTGTTATCTTTGCACCACATCATCAAGCCTCTATCTCCTTTCTGTATTCTGCCTCATTGTTGTTTGATATCTGTCCTACCATGGTGATGTCATCAGCAAATTTGTAGATTATGTTCAGAATTTGGCAACACACAGTTGTGGGTGTAGAGGGAGTACAGTAGGGGGCTGAGAATGCATCCTTGGGGGGCTCCAGTGTTGAGGGTTATTGTGGAGGAGGTGCAGTTGTCTACCTTCACTGATTTGCAGTCTGTCGGTCAGAAAGCTGAGGATCCAGTTGCAGAGGGCAGAGACGAGACCGAGGTCTCGGAGTTTTGAGATCAGTCTGGAGGTGATAATCGTGTTGAAGGCGGAGCTGTAGTCAATGAGCAGGAGTCTGATGTAGGTGTTCTTATTGTTCAGATGTTCCAGGGACAAGCGCAGGGCCAGGGATGTAACATCCGCTGTGGACCTGTGCTGTCAGTAGGCAAACTGTAGGGGATCGAGTCAGGGTGGGAGACTGGAATTGATGTGGACCATGACCAGCTTCTTGAAGCATTTCATGATAATTGAAGTCAAAGCTATTGGATGGTAGTCATTAAGGCACATTGCATGATGGTGGTCTTCTTGAAGCAGGTGGGGACTATGGCTTGTAGGAGGGAGAGATTGAAGATGTCAGTGAATACCTCTGCCAGCTGGTCTGCACAGGATCTGAGTGCTTGGCCGGGGACACCGTCTGGGTACATCACTTTCCTTGGGTTGACTCTCAGGAAGACCAATCTGATGTCTGCAGCGGTGACAGATGGAATAGGTGTGTCCAGGGCTTGTCAGGGCAGGTGACACTGTGGCACTGGCATTCTCCTCGAACTGAGCATAGAAAACATTGAGTGCATCAGGGAAGGATGTGTCGTTGTCCATTATCTTGCTCTGGTTCATTTTGTATCCCGTTATGTTGTTTAGGGCTTGCCACAGGTGGCGGGTTTCAAGGACCGTAACAACCCCACCCCGGTGATCAAAAATGCTCTCAACCGCATCTCTTGCATTTTCTGCACTTCTGCCCTCACATCCCCTCCCCCTGTCAAAAATAAAGACAGAATCCCCTTTGTCCTCACATATCACCCCTCCAACCTCTGCATCCAGCGTATCAATCTCCTGCATTTACAGTCCCACCCCACGACCAAAGAGATATTTCCCTCCCCACCCCATCTGCCTTCCGTAGAGACCGCTCTCTCCGTGACTCCCTCGTCTGCTCTACACTACCCACTAACCCCACCACCCCCGGCATCTTTCCCTGCAACAGCAAGAAGTGCTCCACCTGCTCCTACACCGCCCCTCCCTCACCTCCATGCAAGGCCTAAAACAAAACTTTCATATCCAACTGGGTTTCACCTGCAGATCCGTCAACTTGGTCTACCGTATCCACTGCTCCCAATGTGGCCTCCTGTACATCGGTGAGACCAAGTGTAGGCTTGGAGACTGTTTTGTAGAGCATCTGTGCTCTGTACGTGACAAACGACATCACCTTCCGGTCGCCAACAATTTTAATTCCCCCTCCCACTCCCTGGGTGACATGTCCAACCTGGGCCTCCTCCAGTGCCACAGTGACACCACCCGCAAACTGGAGGAGCAGCACCTCATATTCTGCCTCGGGAGCCTACAGCCCGATGGCATGAACATAGAATTCACAGTTTTAAAATCTCCCCACCCCTGGCCTCATTCCATGTCCAAGCCTCCCTCCCATCCCCGCCTCCTTGAACTGACACAACCCGTCCATCTTCTCTCCCACCTGTCTGCCCCTCCCACCTCACTGACCAATCCCCACCACTCCCTACCTGCACTCACCTATCACCATCCCACCTACCTTGCCCAGCCCCACCCCTCCTGTATTTATTTCTGAGCTCCCTTCCCCCTCCCCATTTCTGAAGAAGAGTCCTGACCCAAAACGTCAACTTTCCTGCACCTCTGATGCTGCCTGGCCTGCTGTGTTCCTCCAGCTCCACACTGTATTATCTCAGACTCCAGCATCTGCAGTTCTTGCTATCTCCGGGAGTCTGTATGGTTGGTTTGAGCCTCTAACTTGGTCTGGTACTGCCACTTGTCATCCCTGATGGTTTTGCAGAGGTCATATCTGGATTTTCTGTATAGGTCTGGGTCATCCCGATGAATGCTGCATGCCTGGTATTCAGTAGGCAGTGAATTTCCTGGCTCATCCAAGGTTTCTGGTTGGGGAACACCCAGATTGACTTCTTTGGTAAACAGACCGTGCTAATGAAGTCCTTGATGGTGGTGGCATACTCGTCTAGGTTTCCCACTGAGTCCTGGATCAGTCCACCGATTCCAAGCAGTCCTGGAGATGCTCTTCCGTTGCCTCAGAACAGCATTGTATTCCTTTCAGTGAAGGATCCTCCTGTTTCAGCTTCTGCTTGCAAGCTGGGAGGAGGAACACAGCGCTGTGGTCGGATTTTCCGAAGTGTGTGCAGGGTGGGGTGTGGAGCGGTAGGTGTCTTTGATGGTTGTGTAGCAATGGTCCAGGATGTTTGTCCTGTGGTGGGACAGGAGATGTGTTGGTGGTACTTTGGCAGCACCCTCCTGAGGTTGGCTTGGTTGAAGTCACCGGCCACGATGAATAGGGCATTGGGGAATTTCATCTCCAGAGTCTTTGTGGCGTTGTAACTTTCATCCAGGGCATTCTTCATATCCGCATCGGGTGGTGTGAGGTCAAAAGTGGGGACATGGCAGTTTTTTTTACACAACAAGGAACATCGAACAAAGGGTCCATGTAAATGTAACCATTACTCAGTGTATTAACACAGCTTTTCACCCCAGCCTTCTTTTCCTCATTGATTAACACCCCACACACGATCAATTCCATCCAGCACAGTCCACATAGCAGTATTTAGCTCAGGCATTGACTGTTAACAGGTTATTCGTTCATTGGTGAAAGCATCTATGAAGGTGGGGTAAGGTTTAAAACTTTGCAGCATTAACAATGCTTTGCGTGTTCCATTGTTTATCATCACACAGAATACAGAGTCAGGAAACGTGGCTGGACTGAGCACAGTAAACAATCAGTCCACTTCTCCATGAAGATCTGTGGGCTTGTGAGTCAGAATCCCAGATCAACCTCACACCAGCTTCATCCACTGCACTCTCCCTTTAGCTGAATGATTGGCAATCATTGTCTGGTAGGTTCACTTGGCAAATTGGCAGACCACAAAAATCATTTACTCTCTGATTCTGTGGGTCGGTGTAGGTTTCAGCGATCCCTACTGTATGCTGGGAATCACGATGGGACAGACCATGCGGGAGACGGAAGAGAAGAAGGAGCGGAAATTCAGCTTTAGGAAAAAAAAGGACAGAATGGAAAAGAAGTCAAGCCTCAGAGAAGTACTTCCTGCCAAGTACATTCAGGTCACAGATGTCAAATCAAACACTCTGAATCCAGTGTGGAATGAGACCCACAGGTTGTGAGTATTATGATTGCTGCATGTCAGCCGCAGTATTGACAGAGTAATAACAAGTGAGTGCTATAGTTCAATACTCAGGACTATCACCCTTTCAGAGGGTTAATACTCAAGGAGTACCACCCTGTCAGAGGGTCAGTACTCAAGGAGTACCACACTGTCACCACACTGTCAGAGTCTCAGTACCCTTTTTTATTCATTCTTGGGATGAGGGTGTTGCTAGCTAGGCCAGCACTTACTGCCCAGAGAACTGTTAAGAGTCCAACCACATTGCTGTGGGTCTGGAGTCACATGTCGGCCAGACCAGGTACAGATGGCAGTTTCCATCCCCAAAGAACATTAGTGAGTCGGATGGGTCTTTCTGACAATCAACATTGGATTCATGGTCATCGTTAGACTCTTAATTCCAGAATTTTTTTGCATTCAATTTATTAAACTTGGACTTATTATTTGTGAGAGTGTGGTACTACCCCTAAGTTCAACAATACATTTTGTTGAATTTATTATTGAACCTGTGGGGAGTACCACACTGTCAGACGGTCAGGACTTGGTGGGGGGTGGGGTGGGGGCATTAGTACCACACTGTCAGAGGGTCAGGACTCAGGGAGTACCACACGGTCAGAGGGTCAGGACTGGGTGGGGGGGGGGGTGGGGTGGGGAGGGTTAGTACCACACTGTCAGAGGGTCAGGACTCAGGGAGTACCACACTGTCAGAGGGCCAGGACTTGGAGGTGAGTGCCACACTATCAGACCGTCCTTATCTGTGGGGAGCACCACACTGTCAGAGGGTTAGTACTTAGGGAGTACCACACTGTCAAGCCTATGGTACTGAGGAATGCTCCATTACTGAAAGGATTGACGTCAGGACGTGATGCACTATTAGAAGGTCACATTAGAGGGAGTGCTGTACTGTCAGAGGGGCAGCACTATGGGATCACTCCACTGTTGGAATGAAATTACTGAGGTGTCAGAGCATTAGTACGGAAGGAACGTTGCACTTTTAGAGGGTAGTATGGAGGGAATGCTACATTTGTAGAAGGGCAATATTGGGGAAGCAGTGTACTATTGGAGCAGTATGCTAATCAAGTGCTACACTGTTGGAGCGATAGTCAGATTTAGTCGGATGACACTTTTGAGGTGTCATCTTTTTGCTGAGATGTCAGGTAGATGTAAAAAACTTCATGGTTCTAGTTAAAGAAGAACAACTGAGTTATTGGTATCCAAGCAAAGACTTACCCATTATTCAACATCATTAACTCAGAAGGCATTGTGGCAGTAGAAACAGAGTTAACAATTTTCAAGAAGATTTGTAGCTCGGATTGTGGATGAGGTTGTAGACATGCTTGCCACGCCGGTGTGCTTGGTTGTGTGAGAAAGAGTGTGTGTGTGTGTGTGTGTGTGTGTGAGTGAGAGTGTGTGTGTGTGTTTGTGTGCAGAAGAAGAGAGAATGTGTGTGTGTGTGTGGATGAGAGAGAGTGTGTGTGTGTGTGAGAGGGGGTCTGTGTGTGTGTATGTGTGCATGTGTGAGTGCGTGTGTGTGTATAGTGTGGTGGGGTCACCTGTAGTGTGACATGAACCCAATGTCACAGTTGAGGCCATCCTCATGGATACCAAACGTGGCTATCAGCCTTTGCTCGGTGACTCTGCGTTGTTGTGTATCCCGAAGTCTGCCTTGAAGTCTTACCCGAAAATCCGAGGCCGCATGTCCTTGTCCGGTGAAGTGCTCGGCCACTGGGAGGGAACACCCCTGCCTGGCGATTGTTGTGTGGTGTCCATTCATCAATCTCCCTTGCACTCACACACACTCTCTCTCAAACACACATACACATGCACACACACACACTCCCTTTCTCTCTCTCTCTCTCTCCCTCACACAGACAGACACGCACACGCAGACACACACACAAATCTATGGGATGAATCTGCATTTGCAGATACATTTTATTTTGTTCAAAACGCACACAACTTGTAGACACAGTCAATCAATGGGGCATTTTATAAATTTCTGCTTTGGAAATAAAACCAATCTGACTCCAGGTTAAAACACAGACAGGTTCTAAACAAGGCATCATACCTAAAATGCATTGTCTGACCTAAGATGTTGCCTCTTCTATACATTGAAAGAACCTTCAGTTATCTCAGGGCAGTGACTTGAAAGAAATTCTGGGATTTGCATTTTAATCAATCAAAATCTGCATCTCCTTTCTAACTGATTAAAGATTTAATAGCAGGGCGTCAGTCAGCCATTTCAGGCTTATTCAATACATTTGCATCAGTCGTATGATCTTTTGATCTTTTACTAATAAATTCTGTGTCTTGATGCCTCTCTCACTACCCCGATGAAGGAACAACGCTCCGAAAGCTAGTGTTTTCAAATAAACCTGATGTTGTGTGATTTTTGACCTTGTCCAACCCAGTCCAACACCGGCACCTCCACATCATTGTAAAACGCTTAGGTGTTTCTGAAGTCATGAAATATCTTCTGATGCCCTTTTGTTGTTAATGTATATTGAATTGCTGAATATTCCCTGTTCCACAGTGATCTGGACGATCTTCATAGCGACCAGCTCCATCTTGATATTTGGTAAGTGTTACTGCCCTGTTATTCACTATTGCATTTTTCATCTTCTGTTTTCAATTTTTGTTCCTTTCTCTCCCTCTATCTCTAATATTTCTCTCACTGTATCTCTATGTTGCTAGGTTTCTCTCTTTCTCTCATCTCCTGTTTTTAAATTTCTTTTTCCACATCAAGTTGCTTTAACTGTAATTTAATTCTTGCTAATTCAAATGATGCATCAGTTGGTGCACCTAGTCCCTCTTGTATTTCCACTGGTCCCAAATTTTGTGCTAATATATTAATCATCTCTTGCCTTGCTAGCTTTTGCAAGAAATTCCATATTTAACTCCTTTGCCAAATCTATGGCCTTGGCCTTTTTTAAATCTTGTGAAACAGTCAGGTCTACTTCCTCTATCTGTTGTACAGTTTTAGCTGCTTCCAATGTAGTATTATACACAGCGCAAAACCTAGTGTCTGTCCTATTATCAGTTACCAATTAATTTTACTCCACACCCAATCTCACATTGTTCAAAACCAGAGGTCAGCCATTGCCTTGAGGACTAGCATGTTAGATTTAATATAGCTTTCTGAAAATCTTAAAATGCAGGAATTTTCAATCTTTAATTTACAATTGACTATCATGGACTTTATTGTATGGACAGTGCATTCTGCAAGACTATTAGACTGAGGATAGTGAGGAAAAGAGGTAATATGTTGAACATTGTCTTAGTGGCTGAGACAAGACTCACTTCACACAAGATTTGGATGTTTTACTGTCCCCATTGATGGCTGCAGTAGTTGTGTTACAGCACTGCAAGGTGCTACTAGCCCACAGCATTGACTTCAAACTTGCTTCTGTTATTCTTGAGGTATATCCTCTAGGTTTGCCTAGAAGTGAGTTTCTGAAGTACTTAATGGTATAGAAGTGACAATCAGTTCTATAAGCCTTTCAGCCAAAGCAGCTTCAATGAAATCACACTCCACAATTTTGTATTGATAGCTGCCTACAAACTGGTTGATTATTTCACCTGGCTGTCACTAGTATGACATGAACTCAAGCTTGTTGTTTCTTCTGTTAAGTTAAGCTGGTCTTCTAAAAGCTGGAAAATTTTGTTAGCATCTTTACAGTCATCATTAGAAATACCAAAGGTATTGACTTTTCTTAATCATTTGTTTCCCAACACAATAAGATGTTTGACTACCTGCCAGCTACTTGTTATTCCATGAAGAAAATGTTTATTCTTTGTTTAAATAACTGAAACTCTGACATGATATCTGTGGATTGTCAAACCATGCTTGAATATTTGCTTTTCGTTTTCTGATATATATGCTCTTTAAGATGCAATATAAAAATCTGCATATTTTTCATTGTAATGCTTTCATTGGCTTCTCCTTTGATATATTTTATTGTTGCTTTAAAAGCAGCAGGTTTAGGTCTGTGTATGGATTTCCTGCCAAAATAGAAGTTTTTCACATATGTCATCTTTTGTGACTTTCACTTGAGAGAAGTAAGATGATGGAATCAATCTGTGCTTGAACCACCTCCTCTTTCACAAATACTTTAGCTGCATCTTCAAGGCAAACATAAAGTATTCATTTAGTACCTCAGCTATACCCTATACCCTTTGCCTCCATGTGTATTTCCCTTTTTGCTCCCTAATTCCACCCCTCATTTTACTATCCATTTTCTGTTTCACGCCTGTATCAGACTCTTAGGTTTCCTTTTAAGTTAGATGCCAGTTTCTTTACATACACTGTCTTGCTTCTCTTACTTCTTTTCTGACTTCTTCTTTGAACTTGCTGTTTTCAGCTTCTTTTTTACTTACATTATTCACTGGCCTCTGATATGACTTGATTATGTTTTTCATAATCTAGGAACTCTTGCTTTGTTTGTTTATCTGTCCTCCTTATCGGAATGTACATCAACTGTACCTGGACTATCTCCCCTTTTAAAGGCAGCCAGTTTTTCAGTTACGATTTTGCCTGTTAAGTCCCTGATTCCAGTTTATCTGAGCCAGATGAATTCTCACCTTATTGAAATTGGCTCTCCCCCAATTAACTATTTGCCTTTGTACAAAGTTAACTAAGTCTTATGATATTATGGTGTCTATCCTCTAAATGTTCCCCGACTGACACTTGATCTACTTGCTTCACCTAGAACTATATGCAGTAATGCCTCCTCCACCATTGAAACGTCCTGATGTAGAAAGTTCTCCTGAACAAATTTCAAGAAGTCTTTCCCCTCTTTGCCCTTTTACATTATTTCCCTTGTGTAAGTAAAATGTGTGAGCAAGAAAGGAGTGACTGAGCACAGTGAGGACACTGAACTTCCATTACCATTGGCTGTCCTAGCCTTCTCCCATATGACCATGCTTCATGCATAAGCCCAGAGTTATGAGCAGACATTTAAAAGAATATTTTGGAAAACACGGAATAGATACATTCAATTGAAGTAGAAAAAAATCTGAGGGGAGGACTGGTTAACTAAAAAAGTTAAAGGCAGGATCAAGCTTAAAGAAAAGCATTCAATTGTGCAAATATGGGTGGCAAGTCAGAAGATTTGACAAAATATAAAAACAATAAAGGAAGTCTAAAAGATGAATAGGGGAGGAAAAGTTGGAGTATGAGAAAAAGCTAGTTAGAAATATAAAGACAGAGTATTTAGAAAATACAGATACATAAAAAAGAAACAAGTAACTTCCATCAGTTTTTACTATAGAAGATACAAGTAACATCCCAGAAGTAGCTGTAAATCAGGAAATGAAATTGAAGGAGGAACTGAAGAAAATAGCAGTCACCAGAGGAGATACTCACCAAATGGTTAGAGCTATGAGTTGACTCATCTTGATGGACATCATCCAAGGGTTTTTAAAATAAATGGTTAATGAGATTGGTTTGAAGTTTCCAAAATTCCCTGGGTTCAGGGAATGTTTCACTAGATTAGAAAATAGCAAATACAACACTTTTATTCTAAAAGGGAAAGAGAAAGTAGAAAATGACAGGCCAGTCAGTTTAATTTACGTCACAAGAAAGATGTCAGAAGTTAGCTTATTAAAACCCTTACAATAGGGTTCTTCAAGAGGTTCAAGATAATAAGGCAGTCAGCATGGTTTTATGAATGGGAAATCATGTTTAAACAACTTATTGGAGTTCTTTGAAGAAGTAATGTATGATATGGGAAACCAGTGGATATACTACACATAAGAGCTCCAACTTCAGGGGTAACATATTGACAGGAATAGATTAGCTAGTTACTAGCTAACAAGAAACAGAGAAGGCATGAATGGGTCAGTTTCTGGTTGGCGAAATGTAACAAGTGGTGCACCACATCGATCAGTAATGAATGCTCTGATTTTTTTTGCCATTTATATAAATGAAAGTGACCAAAAGTATAGTTGCTAATTTTGTTAATATTACAAAGATAGGTAAGAAAGTAAGTTATGAAGTGGAGATAAATAGGCTACAAAGGATATAAATAAGTGTGGGCAAACATCTGGCAAATGTAGTATAATGTGCAAAAATGGGAAATTGTCCATCTTGGCAGGAAGAATAAAAAAGCAATTTATCTAAACATGAGAGGTTGAAGAACTCTGCCATGCGGTCGGATAAAAATGTCCTAGTGCACAAGTCACAGAAGGTTAATAAACTGCTACAGCAAGCAGTTAGGAAAGTTAATAGACTATTATTATTTATTTCAAGGGGAATTTAATAGACAAATAAGGAAGTCATGCTTCTGTTATATAGAGCATTGTTAAGATCACACCTAAATACTGTGTGGAGTATTGGTCTCCTTATTTAAGGAAGGATGTAAATACACTAGAAGCCATTTAGAAATTTACACCATATCTGGGATGGGCAGGTTATTTTATGAAGAACAGTTGGATAAGCTAGGCTGGTATCCATTGAAGTTCAGAAGAGTAAACAGTGACTTGATTGAAACATGTGACCCTGAGGGATCTCGGCCAGTGGATGCGGAGGTGATGTTTGCTGTTGTGGGAGAATCTAAAATGAGGAGTCACTGTTTAAAATATAAGGGGTTTCTTATTTAATTCAGACACAAAGAGACGTTTCTTTTCTCAGAGGGTCATGAGTTTTTGGAACTCTTCATTGAAAGGTGGTGGAAGCAGAGTCTTGAAACCTTTTTATGGCAGATCTAGATAGATTTTAACTAAGTAAAATGCGAATGTTTATCAATGGTGGTCAGGAATGTGCATCAGTCAGATTGGCCTTGACTATATTGAACGGTGGAGCAAGTTCAATAGGCCATTGTCCTATTCCTGCTCCTAATTCCTATCTTTGTGTGTAAATTATCTGATAAAGTGGGACACCATAGCTGACCCTAATCTATTTGAACTGAAGACTACAGCCTGGCTCTCAATAATCCAGAGCAGCCAGCAGCTGGTGAATCCAGCGCCAGGGCCATTTGTACACTCCCACTCACCATGCAAGAGGTCTGTATCACTGTACAGAAGTATGGCTATCTAATCATTGTCATTGTGTCACTTTACAGGGACCATGATGATGAAGTCTCAGTGGTAGAGGCTTGCAAAAATCTAAATCAGATCAGTGGATTCAAAGGAATGGGAAGGTAAGTCAATAACCTGAGTGGATTGGCTGATCAAGTCCTATCAAACTGTCCAAGGGTAGGAAAACAGCAGCTTGAGGCCATATCTAACCTTTCCTACACTTGCCATAGGAGCATTTTATGGCATAATGTAGAGGAAGCTTTATCCTGTATTGATTCCATACTGTATCAGCTCTGAGTATGCTTGATGGGATAGTGGAAAGGGAGCTTTACTATGTATCTTGCCCATGCTGCCCTTGCCCTAGGAATATTTCATGTGATGTTGGAAACTCTCCTGCTCAGAATATTCCTACTGCCTTTAGTTAAAATTTATACTCAATGTTTGTTTGCTAAGATACATCAGTGTTTAATTGCCATGACTGAATGTAAAGATGCATTTAAATGAAAAAGGAAATGTTTAATTTGGGTTTAGATGAACTTTCTATTCAACCGAGCGCTGTTAGCTTTCTAACTCTGTCTTGCAGATTACCTCTCTTTTGTAAATGTTAGCATTGATACCAGCTCTACTGTTGCTAAGGAAAACTCCTGATTTTCACATAACTGATAGCAGTGATAACCGGAAGTGAGGAGCTTTCCCTTCGTGCCCCTCACCCCACCTGCTTTCTATCCACCCTGTCCATGTTCTCCCATAATCCAGGGAATCTCAATCAAGCCTTCTCTCCTCAATAGAAACCTCCTAAGCTTATCCAGCCTCTCTTCAAAGCTAAACTGCTCCATCCCAGGCAACATCCTGGTGAATCGTCCCTGCACTGCCTAGTTTAATTGCACCACACTGCATCTAATATTCCTTTTCTCAGTTCTGATCCATTTTGCTGACTATTACTCTGATTGTAAAGATACTTCAAACAGATCGTGAAGTCGGCTCGAAGTAATGGGGCCACGGGATCACAGGAAGAAAACGATGATTTCCTCGGTTGCCTGGATATTCCAGTCAGTGTAAGTCTGACCTTCAAAAGAGGGAACGGGGGATGGGATGCCAGAGCGTTTAAAACCAACCCTCTTTCCCAAACATAGCCTTTGCCATGGTCTCAAGTCCAGGGTATTTCGAGTGATGCAGATGCATACAAGACACAAGTAGAAACCGTGTCACTAAGGCAAGACAGCCAATAAACTTACTACAATTGCACTTCTCCATACATGTCATAACAAAAACTAAAATGCACACACTATCAATACAGTATTAAATTTCCCAAGTTACCCAATCTACATATAACTACTGTTTGTGATGTATATAAACAATGTAGATGAGCATGTGGGAGGGATGGGAAGTATATTTGCAGATGACACAAACGTTGGGCATTGACAGCATATAGGCGATTGGTCAGATGGACAGATCAGTGGCAGATGGAATATAACCCTGATAAGTGTGAGGTGACGCACTTTGTCTTGTCTTGTTACACCTTGTCTTGTTACTGCTTCCAATGTATGGCAGAACATTAGGAAGCTCAGAGGAACAGTAGATCTTGGAGTGCTGGTCTACAGATGCTTGAAGGTGTCAGAACAGATGAATAGGGTAATTAAGAAGGCCTATGGGACAATACCTTTATCAGCCATGGCATAGATTATAAGAGCAGGGAGGTTATGTTGGAACTGTACAAAACTTTGGTTAGACCACAGCTGGAGTACTGTGTACAGTTCTGGTCACTGCTGTATAGGAAGGATGTGATTGTACTGGAGGCAGTGCAGTGAAGATTCACCAGGATATTGCCTGAGAGGAGCAGTTTAACTATGAAGAGAGGCTGGATAAGCTTGGGTACTTTCTATGGAGCAGAGAAGGCCTGATTGAGGTGTATAAGATTATGAGGGACATGGACAGGGTGGATAGAAAGAAGCTGTTCCCTTTAGTTGTATGGTCAAAAACAAGGGGACATAATTTTAAGGTGAAGGCAGAAGGTTTAGATGGGATTTGAGGAAAGGTTCTTTCACCCAGAGGGTGGTGAGAATTTGGAATGCACTTCCTGGGAGGTTAGTTGAGGCAGGAAACCTCACAACCTTTAAAAAGTACATGGATGAGCTGGAAAGTGGAGCTAGTGTAAAGTTAGAGTAGTTTTTTTCTGTTGGTGCAAGCTTGATAGGTCAAAGGGCCTCTTCTGTACTATATGTTTCCATGATACAATAAAAAAAAGCTCTCTTTCATTTGCAGAACTGTGCATTAACTCTAGTCAGTTCCCTACTGTCAATCTCTGCACATACATTACATACATAGTCTTTTAAATCATGCACATTTCCTGATGGCATGCATGCGCATTGTCGTTGATTATTCATCTGTATCTGCTCAATTGATAGAGTAATGTTCCTTATCTGAGGAGTGTTATTCCCATGGTGATAACTGTGATAACTGTTCTTCCTGATCCATTTCTGCTGCTAGGAAATGACGGACCTCTGGGACTGATGGCCATTCTGTACTCTGTGCAAGTGTTGCGATTATACCTTGCCGGTCAGCTGACTGCCGTGAAGGCACACAATTGCTTAATGTAGATGTCTCAGTTGCAGTGATACACCTGGAATATTCATGTTCACTGTGTTATATCAAGATGACAAGTGCTGAACTCAATTTCCAATTTGTTATGTGGGCTGACTCTTGTTGAAAGCCCTCTGACTGGCTTTCCAGTGGTGAGCTTTGGTGATGACTTCGCTGCTTTATCAAGTGAAATTTGGATTTCTGTCATTTCATCATGAATTTATCACTCACGCTTGTTCTAATTCTGGCTTCAATTGTTTGTTCACTCTTCAAAGAGTAGCTTTTGGTGTGTTAATACATTAGACTTGGGATTGGACACTTAAGAATTGCCCTATACAAATTTCTGTTGGGTTTGCTTTCTTTCCTTAGTGATTTTCACTGTTGCTTCAGCTTTTCCATTCGACTTTTGATAGTGTGTAGATGATGTATAGTTTTGAATTTCTCAATTCTTTATAAATCCTTTACTTGTAAATTGAGGGCCATTATCACTCTTCTAGATTTTTTTCAGTGCTACCCTGCTGTTGCTAATCCAGTCTATAGGAATTGTCACTTTTTTAATTACTCTTCTTTTCCAAATCATCTGTCTTGTCTTTCAGGCTGGATTTGAGGGCGTCTGGAACTCTCCTTGACAGGTGCTAAATTGATCTCATGCTTTAATCCACTCCAAGATGATATTCACCAGCAAGATATCTGAGACTTGTAAAGATATCTTTGTAATCTTTTAGGATTTGTTCAGCTGTCAATGACTTAGTGGCCTGTAAAAATCTGCAGATCTCTTCTGGCATGTTTAGAGATACAGTTCCAAGCTTTAGGCTTGCTTCAACTGGGATGTATGGATTTTGCTTAATATTAATCTTTGTTCTTCCTGTTGCATTGGCCTCTCAACTTAATTTGTCCTCTCTTAGTTAGTACTGTTCTGTCATATAGCCACAACATTACTTTTTAGGGCTTCATTTTTGGGCTGTCACCTTGCACCACTTTGCATAGGTTGGCACAGCTAATTATGTTGCACAAAACATCTACAGCCATCATTCCAATAGTCACATAACTTTCCAATATGTTATTCTAATTCCACCTAGAATGTGTCTCAGCTGAATACCAAGTCTCATCTGCTCTCCTATTAACACGCTGTAGCTGATGATGGACAAATTCAGAGCTTCTGCACATATTGATAACTACGTGTAGAGCTGATGAACACAGCAGGCCAGGCAGCATCAGAGGAGCAGGAAAGCTGACATTTCCGGTCTAGACCCTTCTTCAGAAATGGGGGAGGGGAAGGGGATTCTGAAATAAATAGAGAGAGAGGGGGAGGCGGATAGAAGATGGATAAAGGAGAAGATAGGTGGAGAGGAGACAGACAGGTCAAAGAGGTGGGGTTGGAGCCAGTAAAGGTGAGTGTAGGTGGGGAGTTAGGGAGGGGATAGGTCAGTCCAGGGAGGACGGACAGGTCAAGGAGGCGGGATAAGGCTAGTAGGTAGGAGGTGGGGGTGGGGCTTGAGGTGGGAGGAGTGGATAGGTGGGAGGAAGGACAGGTTAGGGAGGCAAGGATGAGCTGGGCTGGTATTGGGATGCGGTCGGGGGAGGGGAGATTTTGAAGCTTGTGAAGTCCCTATACCATTGGGCTGCATTCCCCATGCGGATGGCCTAAAGGCCCTCTGCTTCTTCCTGTCCTGCAGGCCTGACCAGTCCCCCTCCACTGACACCCTCATCCGCTTAGCTGAACTCGTCCTCACCCTTAACAACTTCTCCTTCAATTCCTCCCACTTCCTACAGACAAAGGGGGTGGCCATGGGTACCCGCATGGGCCCAAGTTATGCCTGCCTGTTTGTAGGATATGTGGAACAATCCCTCTTCCAAAGCTACACTGGCCCTATCCCCCACCTCTTCCTCCGTTACATCAATGACTGTATCGACGCCGCCTTGTGCTTCCACGAGGAGCTCGAACAGTTCATCCATTTCACTAACACCTTCAACTCCAACCTTAAGTTCACCTGGACCATCTCCGATACCTCTCTCTCCTTCCTGGACCTCTCTGTTTCCATCTCTGGCAACCACTTGGAAACCGATGTCCATTTCAAGCCCACCGACTCCCACGGCTACCTAGAATACACCTCCTCCCACCCACCTTCCTGCAAAAAGGCCATCCCCTATTCCCAATTCCTTCGCCTCCACCGCATCTGCTCCCGCGATGAGGCATTCCACTCCCGGACATCCCAGATGTCCTCATTTTTCAAGGGCCGCAACTTCACCTCCACAGTGGTCGAAAATGCCCTCGACCGTGTCTCTCGCATTTCAAGCAACTCATCCCTCACACCCCCTTCCCGCAATAATAACTAAAACAGAATCCCCCTCGTCCTCACGTACCACCCCACCAACCTCCGGATCCAACGCATCATCCTCCGGCACGTCCACCATCTGCAATCTGACCCCACTACCAAAGACATTTTCCCCTCCCCACCCTTATCGGCTTTCCGGAGGGACCACCGTCTCCATGACTCCCTTGTCCGCTCCACACTCCCCACCAGCCCTACCACCCCTGGCACTTTTCCCTGCAACTGCAGGAAGTGCTAAACCTGCCCCTACACCTTCCCCTTCACCCCCATCCCAGGCCCCAAGAAGACCTTCCACATCAAACAGATGTTCACCTGCACATCTGCTAATGTGGTATACTGTATCCGCTGTTTCCGATGTGGCCTCCTCTACATCGGGGAAACCAAGCAGAGGCTTGGGGACCTCTTTGCGGAACACCTACGCTCGGTTCGCACTAAACAACTGCACCTCCCAGTCGCGAACCATTTCAACTCCCCCTCCCACTCCTTGGACAATGTGTCCATCCTGGACCTCCTGCAGTGCCACAACGATGCCACCCGAAGATTGCAGGAACAGCATCTCATATTTCGCTTGGGAACCCTGCAGCCCAATGGTATCACAAGCTTCAAAATTTCCCCTCCCCCGACCACATCCCAAAACCAGCCCAGCTCGTACCTGCCTCCCTAACCTGTCCCTCCTCCCACCTCAAGCCCCACCCCCATCTCCTACCTACTAGCCTCATCCCACCCCCTTGACCTATCCGTCCTCCCTGGACTGACCTATCCCCTCCCTAACTCCCCACCTACACTCACCTTTACTGGCTCCAACCCCGCCTCTTTGACCTGTCTGTCTCCTCTCCACCTATCTTCTCCTTTATCCATCTTCTATCCGCCTCCCCCTCTCTCTCTATTTATTTCAGAATCCCCTTCCCCTCCCCCATTTCTGAAGAAGGGTCTAGGCCCGAAACGTCAGCTTTCCTGCTCCTCTGATGTTGCTTGGCCTGCTGTGTTCATCCAGCTCTACACTTTGTTATCTCAGATTCTCCAGCATTGGCAGTTCCTACTACCTCTGCACATATTGATAGTTTCCTTGAGAGTAAGTTTCTCCTCTTTGAGCAGACATATTGTCACTGCACAAACTTTTGTGAGCTAAGACAATCCTGTCTCTGATGAAGTCATCTTTCAATTATCCAAGCTCTCAGGATCCAGCCAGATGTGCCTGTTTGGTCATATACTGATCAATA